AGCTGGTGGTGACTGCCTGGAAACAAACAATCTTGATACACAAATTCAGTGCTCGGCCTTCCACCACAGCTCAAAGCTAACTTAGAAGAACATGTTGGAATATCTTATAGATGGAGATTATTTGGTGTGAAAGCAGAGACTCCAGTGAGGAGTGTGAGGCCTGAGTGCCATAAGAAGCCCCAGAGAGGAATGCACCCAAGGACATCATTTTCACTGCTGTTTTTGGTATCTCATGAGAGGACATGGGCAAAACTGCAAACACAAGTTGAAGACAAAGGACCACCCTTGTTCAAGGAATGTCTGAAACTGGGCAACAGGCCAAAACAGGACTCCCTGAGCCAAAACAGGACCATACGGCAGCGAGTTACCAGATTCATGGACAAGACCCCAAGAGACCACAAGCACCAGGGGTCTCGAAAGACCCCCAGGGACGACCAAAGGGACACAGGGCACATGCACGAGGGTGGGACGTGCTGTAATGAGCTCCAGGAAATACAATGAATATGGATGATCATTCCGGGAAATTTAATGCATATGTAGACAATAGAGAAACACCAGCTTTGGTTAACACAACTTACAGCATGCTCGTCAGGAGGAGCCATCCCCCATGCATCTGGTGCCGTAATATAGAGAGCACCCGCTCCTTAACACTGTGTTGGTGTCAAGGGGGTTATTCCCATTTACAGTGACACGAGGAGCATTTAATCGAGAAGAACAGCTAGAAAGCAGGGGAAATTGCACGCAGCTTTCCTTACACAAGCTGTACTTATTACGACATAGCTACAGGGCGAAAGTGCAAACCTAAACCCAATTAAAAGCTCAGCAGAATGAGCCCAGTATGAAAAGCACGGTTCCCAGCAAAACTCGAGATTTCCTGAATCCATCTATAACTGTGCCTGTATTTTTGTCACATTTCCAAGTGTTATCCTTGATAATTAAAAAGACTTCAGTGCTCACAACATTCCCTCGTAGTGGGCAAGGGAAGCAAGGGAAGGAATCGAGTTATTTGACAGGCCTGACCCTGCGCGAGCAGTTAAGGACGGTTCTTTCCGGGGCTTTCGGTGCCGAGGAGCGTGCAGGAACGCAGGGAGCAGAAGGCAAACGGAGTGGTGTGAACTGTGGAATCTCAAAAAGCTCATTTCTCTCCCATGCACAGCGCATGCCAAATCTTAAAATTCCTGCAGCATCCAGTTATGAAACTACAATAGAGGAGGAAAACAGATGGCTGAAGCCTTTATGAGAAAAAGATTTAAGCATTACTTCATTGCCAAAAAAAGGCAGCTATATATGTGAAAATATGGAACCTACTTCAGACCATAGCTAATCGATAAAAATATAGGTGATTTGCCTCACGGAAATGAAGCCCGTATTGAGCCAAAGCAGTGCACACAAGAAGTTTAACCCTTTTCAAACATTACGGCTTGTTGGGTTTTTAAGCAAATTTTAAAAGCCAAGTGGTTCACAAACAAGATGAGAGGCCTGTTGTAAAAAGTAACACGTTTCTTTGGCGTTAAAAAAGCTGCTTAAAGGCAGAACGGGTTGAAAAGCCTCTTAATGTTTACTCTTTTCCGGTGCTTTTAAGCAATTAACAGCTCCATGCAGGTGAGCAGCTTCTCTGCGGGCAGAGAAAGGGCTGCAGAAGCGTCTAATGGACAGCAGCACATTAGGATCTTGGCCACCTCATCCTGCAAAGCCCAGCCGTTTTCAGGGGCACGGGGAGAGCAGGGAGCTCCCCCTGGAGCTGCTCTTGCACCCCGACCCGCGAGGACAAACACGCAGGCAGGTAGAGGAGGGCACGTGTCGCGTGTCACCTGCCCGAGCCTCCCCGCGCGCCGGGGCTGCGCTCACGCCAAGGGCAGAATGAAGCCTCCCCTGCCAGGCCCGGCCTGCAGATCGCTGGCAAGGCCCAGTGGAAAATCCAGCACTGCTCCAGCTCCTTCTGCGGGTGACAGACCCGAGCGCCGCCAAGCCTTCCATAAATCAAGTGCTTATGTGATTAATTCAAAGCGTTACGTTTTCACGGTAGCCGGAGTCACTGATCCACGTAAAGACCAAGAGTACGCTTATTTATTTATTTTAAATGAAAGGCTCTACATGAACTAAGCGCTCCGTTTTTCAAAAGCCCCGAGCAGCCACAGCAATCATATCTGGGTCAGTGGGAACAGCCAGAATGCCGCAAAAATGACCTGCCTCTGCTAAATCACCTGAAAATAAGGTTTTTCCTAACAAAACAGCGAGAACCCTGGATGCTCCATCACAACCTGTCCCACCAACAGCCAGCAATGAAGAACACTCAGCCGAGGGCCTTTAATCACTAGCAAGGACGAGCATTAGGAATTGCGGAGCGTAGAAGAGGGAAGCAGCGGGATGCGAGGCCCGTGCTGGAGAAACGCTGCTCTACCTAGGGATAATCCTGTGAAAGAGCAACGCGGCGACCCAGGGCGGCAGCGATTCCCCGCGCAGCCAGCAGAGCCGCTGCTCTCGTCCCTGCAGTTATTTCAAACACCACGTAAAAAAATCGGGATCCATGCAACGTTCGCGGGGCACAAAGAGAACCAAGAGCCGCTGCAAACCTTGCAAGCAGCATAGAAGCAGCAGGGAAATATTTCCAACCTTAAGCCAGCGTTTGAGCATGTAGACAAATGAAAGCCTAGAAGAACAGAGCAGTTCATAGCGCAGCCTGTTCTGGGCACGGACAAAGCTTGCTCACAGACACGTTTGTGTTCGAGTGTGTTTACGACTGCACAGCCATTTATTTTAAAAGATGAATGGAGCATTCTTTTCCTACCCAAACACGGCATTGTTAAAATGCCAGTCCATTAAAATAACTCGGTGCTTACTACATTTCTATCAAAACACCCTTGCAGGATGGAGCTAGCAGCGAACACTACAGCACCGCCACTTGATATATTCAGAACGGCTTGCAGAACGGTGCAGCATATGCAGCTTATTTCCTCTGTTTTGTTTTCACTTGCGCCAAATTCAGAGGCAAGCTTTAGAAATAAAGTAACCACAGTGATGCTGTCAGCACATTCAGAATTGTATCTTCTCCAAAGTTAAAGAAAGGCTTTGTTAAATGTTACTAAAACATACACTTTTTTTTTTGCTTTGTTTCATAAAGGATTTCTACTTACAGAAGAACAGTGCACTTTAGATTCATATTCACAGAACGTTTTTTGCTCTAAGGCTCTCCAAACAAGAGGAAACAGAATAAAAAAGCCTAAAATTAAATGACTCCATGAATGATTTTTCTTGCTACTGTTTTCTTCTAAAATTCACCCATACTTTATCACCAGTCACTTGTTTCTTCATAAACAATACTGGATTCCTAATACAACACTGATAACCCAAGACACTCCACCACAACCTGTCCCACCAAGAGCCACCAGAAAACAGCACCAATACGGGAGTTTTTTTAGGATTTGACATTTTGAAAAGCTGTATCACTTCATATACAGGCATTTTGCTAGGTGCTAGGCATTATAGTTATGATTAAGGGTATTTAAATATATATATATATTATTAAATTTATTAAAATTTGTGCGTGCAACTTTTTCTTAGATTAAGTGAAATGAAAGGAAGTTGAAGACCCAATATGAACATTCCCCTGTGACTTTCATACTTCAATGCTGGAGCACTCTACAGATTCACAGTTAAGGAGTGAATCAAAGTGAAATTAAAAGCCACAATGGGGCAGTTTATGCAAAGAAAACCTATGGAGTAATAAACAGTTACTGAAATAGCCCTGATAAGAGTTTCCCCATAGTAACTCTATGGCCTAAACTAGTCAGGAGGTCATGCAAGATAATCACAACAGTCTCTTTCAACTTTTAAAATACTTTTATTTATAGTTTTCTCTAAGAAAGTAATTTCAGCTTCAAAAATGATTTTCATGTAATCTTTCAAAACATTTTAGGCAAGAAAATAGCTTTTTTTTTTTTTTTAATTCTCTAACCTGAGAGTTTTCCTTCAACACTGAGCACCCAACAGCCTTCTAGCATATTTGACAGATTTCTAACTCCAAGAGAGAGGATTTAACTTTGTAGAGGCCTCACTCATAACCTCTGAAAGCAGCCAACGTAAGTGCCAAGCTTGCCAACAAGATCATAAGCCAAGTATTATAAAGGAAGCTGCAGATTATTACAGAGCAACACGAACATCTCAGCTTGCAAGGCCCATAAAGTACTTCCTCCGCCCTGACACGACAATCGCAATTGAGTGACACTGCAATCCAACGTGAGGAATTAAGACAGCAACATGAATCTTTCATATACATAAAAGAGCACTTAAGTATAACAGGGAACATGGCTTGACTATTTAAAAAGCTGTTCCTAGTCTTCCCCATTGTAGTCAAGTTCTTTTTACACAGGAAGATTTGCCTGAGCCAGACCCATACAATTAATTAGCTGCTACCTGGTCAGCTCCAACTGCTCCGTTACAGCACAAAATTCCTGCCTGGCTACAATATCTTACAACAATTCCTAAGGATCTCTCTTTTGGCCCTTCCCATTCAAAGAAGGGAAGGAACAAGAAAAGGAAGGAGAAGACAATGTACCTTGGGTTAAAAGGGACAGAGCCAAAACGAGTATCCACCCTAGATTAAGGCAACACAATGTTCAAGGCTGGTCTTAAAGGTGACACTCAGCTAACAGCAGCAGATAACGTTCAGCACCAAGAGCTGAGTTGGAAAACAACACAGGAAAAATATCCACTTTTTTTTTTTTTTGAAAACACTAAATCAAAGGCTCCAAGCTAATAAACGCACTGTCCTGCACGACACCAAAAATGCCAGCCAAGAAAAATGAGAGTACGAAGCCAAGGCAACAGGTCCAAGGTGAGCGTGCCACGAAGTTCTCATCAAGAGACGCCCGCTCCCCACCCTGCTCCTTCTGCACGGGCAGGACAGGAGGAAAGAACAGTGAGAACGCACGCGCACGCAGTGTCCGTCCTTGCCCAGCACCAGCTCCGCCACCTCTGCAGCAACATGAGCCACTTCTTACCATTTTTTGGTGCACTCGACCATCAGCTCCTGGTAAGAAGCCACAAACTGGAACTTGGACGCGTGTTTCCCAACACGCTGCAGCCTTTTCCAAACTGAAGCCATGATGGGGAGAAATATCAGTCCTATTGCACAGTAGCAACTCTGGGAATACCCAAGTAGGTTTAAGAGTATGTGTGCCCAACGCTAGCAGATCTATGTACAGATACAGTAAAAGCAATGCACAAGATGCTTGAAGGGATGTCTAGGATGCATATTCTGCCTCTCCTGTCTTCACGGTAAATCCCAGTCCAGTCGAGCAGCTCATCCCTGGCCAGGGGCAGCATGCAGTATGAGCGGATGAGTAAGTAAAAGGCAGGAAGAAAATCCTCTCATAGAGCCATCATTCCTCACGTACTAGATGATGTGTAGACTGGAAGACAAAACAGACAGGGGGAGAAAAGAGCCGTTAATACATCACATACTACAGTGCTGCAATTACACACAATCTCGCACCTTTTCAAGCAACGACTACAAGGAGCCATAAACACCTACCCCTTTCCTGCTCCCTCCCTCCCGCCCCCCAATTAAATAAATAAGAACGCAGCAGCAATTTCAGGAATGCAAACCACGAGGCTGTTTGGAAACATATCAACATGCCCTTTTATCAGCGCCATCGCAACTGGCAACAACAACAAAAAAGGGCAGGTCAGGGCCACGCCGGATCCCTCGGGAGCATCTCCGGGAAGCGCCGCGGAGGGGCCGGGGTGCTCACCCAGGGGGAGGCCCGCGGGCAAGGTCTTTGTCTGGGTGACAAAAGGTGCCACCGTCGCTTGCCCTCGCTTCACCCCGCGCCGATTCCTGCCCCGGGGAGGCGCAGCCGGGCGGTGTCAGCGCCGAGGCGCGCGCGCCGCGGGAGGACGGGGCATTTCCCCGGCGCCGCCAGCCGCGCTTCCCCCTGCGCCCAGAAGGGCTCCGCGGAGAGCAGGGCGCCCGGCCGGGCCGGGTGGGGGAAGCCCGGAGCGGCCGGGGGGGATAGACCTGCTGCGCGGAGCTCCGCCGCCACGG